TGTTTGAAAACAAAAAACCTAAATTCATTTAATAAGTAATCCTCAACAAATAAATAAAAAAAAGACGAATAAGTGCATTTAGTGGTACAGTTATGTATTATCCATAATGAACATATCTGACCCTTTACAATCTCTAGTTGCATCTGACAGCTATTCTCAAACTCATAATCTTTCTGAGTTTGCAGTTCAGATGCATTGTTCCAGATGCAGTTCAGCTGATTAAAAAAGCTTCTCCTATGATGCCATAACCTCCAAGAGTTATCAGCACTTATATTTGACAACCTACGAGCACACTCGCTCATATTACTAATTCGCATCTGTAGCGTTATCTGGGTTAGAAAACACCCCTGCTATTAGCTTATGCTAATATGGAGTCCTGATACCTAGGTTAAGCCAATAGACCTGAGGGGATGTTAATGGAAAAGAAAGGAAAGAGTGACAAGGAGTGGAGAACAGTATTGCCTTTATCCAGCTCAGATGCAGTCAAAAAAAGCACATCAAACCATTGTCTTATATGATCCTAAGGCTATTTTTATACTCTGCTGTTCCCTTATTTAAGTACAGTAATGCCAGCTAATTAAAGACAGTTTATAGATCATTTTAGATATGAATTGAAATTGAAATATGTTCTCTTGTGCCCCAGAAGTAATATAAATCTTTTGAAGCTCTGGGCTAGGAAATATTATTCTATAGATGACGCAGCACAGGGTAGGGTTTTATGTTTTTTTAATAAAAAAGTTAAGAAATACTGGACCAAATTTATACTCATTCTAAAATGTGAATCTGAATTTTTTGTCTCATTTACCCTATTTACCCTCAGGTTGCAGTGACATAAACACACTCAGGGTGTAAATCAGAGAAGATTTAAACCTATTACTCTTTTGAGTTATCAACTTTTGGCTTAAAAGAATTTTACTCACTTTGGAAAGATTTAATTCTATATTCCCAAACAGTTAAATTGCCATCCAGTCTAACACAGTTTTATTGGAATTATCACAGAAATTAATTCTGTTAATTTTTTTTCTTAATTCCGTTACCTGTGGCAATTTAATTGTAACAGACTTTAAGCAGGACTTTAAGATGAAAATTCTTGTGATTAATTGTTTCTAGAACAACCCTTGGCATAATAAATATGTAAACATTGGATATTTCTTTAGTATGACTCCTTTTATTAACATTACAAAAATAATAGGATAAATTAAAGATCAGTTTAAACATAGATTAATTGAAAACAAGCAAACTGTAATGCTTTAGTTTGGAAAAGGCGGTGCAATTAAAACCAGACAGCTGTTGTGGAAACCTTAAGGTTCAATAGGAATAGCTATAAATCATGATTTATAGTGAGAGCATGCAGTTACTTGAAATGGATCAAGTCTGAATTAAACTCGTTCCAAAAGTGCACTTTACAAGTTCTTTATCTAGCTTTATATGATCTGCAAAATGTCACTTAAATGGTGGCTAGGGATACAATTTGTACTACCCGTGAGAAAACAGAAACAAAGTTAAAGCTCAAGAGAGTGTAAAGCACGTCATATGTTCCAGTCATCCATTCGTCCTCACAATATCTCTATAAAGTCCCTTTTCACTGCACTTACTTTTTTTACACTAGCATTGGACATTTCATTATATTTCTGTGGTTTTGAACGTCATGGGATCATATATCTAGGAGCAACTTCATAGCACAAACTAGTATAAAAGGGAACAGCATTATTTCAGAGTTCATCTTCAGAGTGAGAATGTATGTGAAGGTATAGAGAAATGTTTGTGTGGGGGAAAGCGCTTCATTTATCAGTACAGATTTACATTGTCAGTCGCTCTTCTTGATGAGAGGGTTGAGTAGCAAACAGCTCTCAGGTAACATGACTGCAACTGTGAATGTTAATGATCCACATGAACAAATTATATAAAGGGACAAATCATAGGCAAAGATAATCAATATCTAACCTTACACCACAGCAAATGAATGTTAAATTATCAGTGGATGGGACAGACTTGGGCAATAACCTCTTAGCCTTGTCATGAAACTGTAGAAGCAGAACTTCTGACAGATTTTTTACCTCCTGATGCTTTCAATGTCCTGTTGGATGGTAGCATATCTTCATTTCTAGACGGCCCAGGATATGAACTCTTCAACTCCTCCTTTTTCTACCACTTTGCTGGAGTAGAAAAGATATTCCACAATGTCACAGAGACTGTTTTCTTTTATGTATGCCAGAAATAATGACAACCCGCAAAGGAGACTGAGATTGGTACCTGTAACTTCTTCAGTTGCTGGTGGCTTCACAACAGGTAAGCTATTATTCAAAAGGTGAACTTACACAAGTAAGAAAATATCCATTTTAGTAGAAATTATTGTTTAAGTCAAAACCACACTGCATTAATTTTCAGTGTCAGCTGTCTGTGTCAAAATCTGATTGTGGGATTTATTTTGATGCTGACAGTCATGCAGTATTACCACTGGTGCTACAGACAGGAGCACAAGGCAGATGGGTGCTGTCATTTTCAGAGCCATTAGTATTCCAGGAACTGAGAAAGCACAGAAAATAACCCCAAATATGTAAACACATAAAAATGATTAAAATTCAGGAAATTATTTAAACAAACAAGCAAACAAGCAACAGAAATAAAAACAGAGCTCAAATATTGAGCAGCATGCTCAATTCCCTAATCTGTTTTCATAGCCTTTTAGGCCTGTAAATCCACAGTAGGAGACACATAGACACACATTTCAAAATTTAGTTACACTTGGTTAGAACTGTAGTATTCCAGAGAATGGATAAACCTACTGCATAAAAAAATGTTTCAATTTTTATCCTCATTATTTGAGTTGTAAAATTATAAGCATGGAAAGATGTTGTGTAACTGCTAGACAATTTTAGGAAATTGAAGCATTCTGATTATGGTTAGGAAAAGGAAATTGTTGATTGGTCAGATGAAGATTTGAGTCTTCATTGAGAAATGATTATCAGATCCATGGATGCAGGGAACATGTGAGTGAAAGTATGGGTTTAGGCAAGACAAATGGCTCATTTTATTTCGCTTTTGTATAAAGCCAACATTCAAATCATGCTCTGTGTGAGTCTGGGCTATGTATTCTGAGTTTCTTGCAGCACGTTGTGGTGGCTAACAGTCAAACGCCTACCTGACTGTTTGCTCACTTCCCCTCCTCAGCAGGAGAGGGGAGAAAAGAGGAAGAATGGAAGGGGGAAAGCTCATGGATCAGGATAAAGGCAGGGAGATTTCTTACCATTACTGTCACGAACAAAACAGACTCAACTTGGAAATATCAATGTAATCTATTGCTAATTAAAATATATATTTTTTAATTTAGGTAGTGGGAAATGAAAAGACAAATGTCAAAGCAACAACTTCCCCCCCAACCCCACCCTGTCCTTCCTATCCCATACTCGACATCATTCTTCCATTTCTAACTCTTCTAACCCCACTCCAAGTGGTGCAGGAGTTTACAGTCAGTACATGGCAGTTTCTTTGCTCCTCTGTATTGCTCCTTCCTCCTCACACTCCTCTGCTCCAGCATGGACCCTCCACATGCTGCAGGGGATATCTGTTCTTCCATGAAGCTCATTCTCCTCTGACTTCAGTTTTCTCTCTGTTGTTTTACACTTCTTTTTTCCTCCCTCTCTGTCTGGCATTTTATGAATTTTTTAAAATATGTTTTCACAGAGATGTCATCAGGTTGGCTGATGTGTTCAGTTGTGTCCTGTTGTGGGTCCATTGGAGCTGACTGTATCTGGCACAGAGCAGCCCCTGGCCTCCTCCCACAGAGGCCCCCCTACAGCCCCCCTGGCTAACCCCTTGCCAAGAGATGGAAAATCTTGTAAGATTTTAATCATGTGGGAAATCCAGCTCCTTTCCAATTTTTTCATTTCTCTCTCTTATACATTGCAAGAGACCACTTGCTCTGAATTGACTGAAAGTTGAAATTGCAAAATCATGATGTCATTGGTTAAAAATTAAATTACATGGTCCAGAATACAGCTGTGCCACTAAGTCTTTGCTTTCAGAAAATATAATTTCTTTTATTTTTTAGCACTGCTAACTGAAATTTTCATCTTCCCTCTCACCACCAAAGTTATTCTGAAATCTAGCACTGATTAAGAAGAAAGAGTCTATTACCTCTGGAAAACTTAACCTTAAAGCTTCTAATTTTCAATAACTGAGCTGCAATTAACCAATTACTTTCATTGTTTAGTGCTCATACTTTAACAGTTTTTGAAAACGCTGTTAAAAAACATCAGTTTTTTATGATCCCACAGTTGTAAGACAATGCTATTTGCAGCTTGGCGGGTATTTAACATTTGGTGAATGAGGTATAGATAATTCTTGAAAGCTTGTTGGTAGTATTTTGTATTTCCTGCCATTAGCAGTGAAGTTGTAGTTCTAGTCACATCCATTTTGGCATAGAAGTCTTTTCTTCTAGGTCACCTGTGTAGCAGCTATTAGAAAAAAAAATCTTGGATTTCAGTCAGTGCGCTAAGTATTTTGTCTAAAACAGCTCCAATAGTGCTGAACTATTTAAAAAAAATTCATCAAAGACATATTCAACCACTGAAAAATGAAAAAATACTTCACACAGGGGGCATAGAGGAAAACAAAGTGCAGAAAAGAAGCAGAGGGGAAAGCTAATACAGGAATGAAATAAGAAGAGTACTTTATATGCTGGATATGATAAAGGTTGGACAAAGCAAATTAAATAACTTCACTTGAGTAGCCTGCTCTCTAATGACATACAAAGCTGTCAACAAAAGAGAAAATGTCGCCAAATGTCAGCAGCAGAACAGCCACAAAATAAATCAGAACATTTTCTTTGAGATAAAAACTGCATAAACTCCATGAAACTTTCCCAATCAAGTTCTAAAAGGAGAAAAAACCCTTAGGGAGAAAATGTCAATGCTAATAGAAAGTCAAACAGAAAACAACCCTATTGGGACAGAGTGAAAAATAAATTCCTAATAAGTAACATCGAACTACAGGCTGACCTGAACAAATGACCTTTTACAAGAGCTTCCAAATTTAAAGGAAAAAAAATTCTGAATTAGAACATAAGGCAGTAAATTGTGTTATGAAAAAGTAGATGTTCTGTGGTAGTGTGTCAGTGGAAGTTATGTGCTTAGTACTTTTCTAAGTCTTTTTCTTTGCACTTTGCATCTTTCCCGCAGTTCAATGATTTAGTTCTTCTTTGGCATTGAAGAATAAGTTCAGTCCCTTAATACAGCAAGCATCCTGGGCTCAGGTACCCAGAGAGCATGAAATTTGTTTTCATTTTCTTCTGCCTAAAGAATATTTTCACCCTCATATGTTTTTTTCAGACACTCCCCTTGTGTGTTCAGAGATAAAGTGTCCTCATTACCATTTTCTGACAGTTTTGTTCCTTGTATGAAATCAAGACCTTTTCAGTACAAACTATGAAACATTCAGAATGTATCAGCCAATTGATAGTTTTGTGTTTTATATATCCTATATATATATACTGTATACAACAGAGGGAAGAAAAAAAGATATAGGTAAAGGGGAATTTTGGTAGAAGAGATGTTCTACCTTCAAACTAATGTAAGATTTTGTTTCTATCAAAAAGGAAAGAAACCAGCTCAAATAGATGATATTAGGTTTAATACTACTGCCACAGAAACAATGGCAAGATCACGACCCTCTAGGCTTTGTGTCTGAGTTCAGTAGCCTGTTTGCAGCATCATCATCAACATCTAAACAATATATGATATGCCTCTACTGGCTCTACAGATGCCAATGTAGGTTCTAGAGGATTTAAGAAAGAATAAATAGAGGAGAAGAGGTAAGAAAAAGAAAGAAAAAGTAAGAACCAAGACCCTTGCATCAGCATAATGCTTGAAGTAGGAAATATCTCTATTGTCCTGTCAGTGATTAGAGCAGGAGTAATAAACCTAAAATTTCATGACTGGTTGTACTGGATTTGGCTGAAATGGAGTTAATTTTCTTCGTCATAGCCCATATGGAGCTGAGTTTTAAATTTGTGACTAAGATGGACACCAGTGTTTCAATTATTATTAAACAATGCATACTGTGATATTCCATGCACTTGAAAGAGTGCATGTCTCCTCCTCTTTCCCTTACTGAACTACTGTATGCTGCAAAAGAAGGGCTCCGCTAGGCCCTCTGATGCCCAGTGTGGTAATACAAAAAGGTGCTAATGGAATGGCAGATATTTAAACAAAACAACTGACAAAACTTCATATATATCTACACCTAGAGGAAATCCTTTAAAAGAAAAGACACTTCAGGAAAAAATATCTGAGAGGGAAAGAAGCCTAAGCAATAAGTGAGGTTCTTTGTTTAAGGAGTACTTTAGTGCCTGGTAAAAAAACCTGCATTTCTTTATGGATGCTGAGATGCCTCAATCCAGCAGAAGGTTTACACTTGCATAGAAAGTAGTTGTACTGAGTAGTGTCCTGATTTAGATACCTCACTTAAGAGATGTAAGACCTTTCTCCCTCATCACTTCCTCCTTATCAGCCTGACACTGGGTTTTCTGATTCCTGTTCCCAGGGCTGAGACAGACTGGGTGAGACTGTGAACCCCATAAAATGATAAAGTACTTGAACCCAAGTTACTAGCACCTCTCAACCTCCCTCTCACAAAGGTTCATGTGTGATTATATTGATGATCAACCGTGACATCAGAACAGAGTGAACAACTGGCCTTTCCATCATTTCCCCTATCTTTGACTGCTGAAGGATCCAATTCTCAAAGAGTTATGCACCATGAGTATAATCCCAATGAACTCAAGAGTAGAATTTATGTTTTTGTTTATTCAGTATATGGCTCCTTCTGGCTTTTCATCCATGGAAAAATGCAGCCAAATAAAAGCATCCAGAATCACAGAGGTCCTGCTCTCTATGTCAGTTTTCCATAGTGTTTTTCTAATCCAGCTCTCCCATTTTTGTTTTATTTTCATTGAAATTACTGGGAAATTTAAGGGGTGCTTTTAAGTCCTGTTATTCATTGTGAGATTAGTGTGGACGTTCAGACTCAGATCAACAAAGTACACACCTAGGGATATAGAAAGTTTACGAGCTCTGAGTATCTCATTCACTAGAAGGGAGGAATGTTAGCTGGTGCTACAGTAATTAATGGTTAAATTACCCTTGGGTAGTAGGTAGTAGGTAGCATAACTTTACAATCTGGTAGCTTTAAATTTCACGACTAATTGTAGCAGTGGGAGTTAGAATGCAGGTTGAAGACATAATGAAATTACCACAGGGAGGAACAGAGTAATGAAGTGAAGTCCAGCAAAAGTTATGGCTACATTACTGTCAACTTGAAAATCTGTAAATAACAACTTTGAAAACCGTTGAGGGCACTAGACAATGGATTTTATGTATATATAAGTATGAAATGTGGATTGGGAGGAATAATTGGGTTTGCTATATTGTTGAGCATGTACTTGGAAAAAAAATCACTTGGTCATCATTTAATCTCCTTTGCACACCTTTTTCATCTTATTTGCATTTTTAATGCAAAACCCAACAGAATATATCTTCAATCATACTGAATTGGTTTGTGTCAAGTATTTGGTGCATATACAACTTCGTAAGTCTTTTAATTCTTCAGCAAAAAACTTCCAGGAAAGTATAATAATCTCTTTATGATTTTGGTACTTGGAATTTCAAAGTCAAAGTTTCACAGTTTTATTAAGAATTCTGAAATCTTGATTTATTGAATAGTAATTTCAAACAACTTTTTAATGAAGTAGACTGTTTTAAATCAAATTATCTTCAGTTAATAAAATACAGAGGAGTGAAACCAGCGCTTTAGAAAATGTGGCTGAAAACCAACCTCTGTAGGGGTCTTTTCTTCAAGATATTAAATATGAATTTATAGACTTATTATTTATTTTTCCAAGTTCCTTTTCTGAGAAAATGTCATATGAAGGTCAGGTATGATGTTTTACATGCTGTAGCAGCTTGAAAGAATGACATTTCACCTTCCAAAGGAGGCCCCAGCCTCTACTTGTTACATAAGCTTAAAAGCATTTGATGGGACTCTACCTCTATAACAACATCTTCCTAGGTGCTGTGGGTTTTTTATGGATTATCACTTGTATCAGCTACATCAGCTATAACAGTTTCACCAATATCAACAATATTAGTTTCTGCTTTACCCAGACCTTTGTATTGCTTAGCCTGTGAATTGTGCCAACAGTGGAAATTCCCTTAGTTCACTGGTCAGCCTATGCCATCAAATCAGTCCTTCTAATCCCAATTCTTTCCTAATATCCTGTTCTTTTTGCTGTTAGTGAAGCCTGTTAATTCTTGTCTGGTATGTCACTCTAATGCAGGAATAAATTATTTTTCCTTTGTTTCACAGTATTTATCATAATTAAAACCTATCCCATGTCCCCATTCAGTAATGTAAGAAAAAATTATTTTCTCATTTTTCACAGCCTTTAACATAATTAAAACCTATCCTACTTTGAGAGATTGAAAGGGTTAATTGCTTAAACATTGTTAAAATCCCTGAAAGACTTTTGTCGACTGTAGCAAACTACGAAGAGAAGCAACTGCTCACCACAGCCCACCCCTTCCTGAATATGCTGCAGGGGTAGATATAATTTCAGAAGAATTTGCAACAGAAAGTTAGGAACTCGATTTTCATTAGGAGGGCTTTCTGCCTAAATGATAACTCTTTCTCAAAGGCAGTTTCAATGTTTTCCCCCCACCCTGCATAGCAATAGAAGTTCTCAGCCTCTCTCTGATATGTGAGAGATGAGAGAGAGCCCTAACAGACATGCATAGAGGTCTTGGGAAGGTGGGGCAGAAAGAGAGAGGATAAAAGGGGCCCTGAGGGGGCAGGAACTCGTCTTTTGCCCCTGAAGGTCCGATGCGCCACATTGTAAAAAAGTGGTCCTTGCACCTGAAATAAACCATTTTTTTTAATCCGTCCACTGCCTTGGCATTCTTGGGAAGAATACCTGCATATGTTTACCTTACAATGCCTACTAATTTTGAATATGAGGGGAACTTGAGATAAGATAAAGGTGGTACTATTGTCCATTTATCGCAGGAGAAGTATGTATCCATGAGTGTGAGAGGCCGGAATGGTAATGGCTCAAAAAATCAGGGTGCAAGCTGACAATGTGCAAAGTAACCACTTAGGTGCTGCAGGCATGCACAGCCAACACCTCAGGCTACAAACTGGGTGTTGAACAAGGTAAAGAGAGAGGCAGATCCCTCAAGGTGAACCAATGTTTCTTTGTCCTTACACAAATGACTCAGCTGTGATAACTCCCTTCTGGGGAAGCACTGAAGCATTCATGGGTGGCCTGGAGATATCTCTACTGTTGGGTCACAATAGGTGTCCTAGGTTATAAAATCCAAGGGGGAATTTTTCTTCCCCTGCCCCACTGTAAGAAAGACAGAGTTTGAATGGAGAGAGGGAAGGGGGGAAATTAGCTTTACAAAAGACCTGGCTGGCAAAACTGCATTACTGACTGATGGCCCATCTGAGACTGGAGTGAGCGAGGAGGAGTTTTGCTCTGTTGCTGCCCTCCTCACAAAGGGGAGAACAGTTTGGGTTTCTCTCTCGAACAGAGATGGGGTCTGTGTGTGCATTTGGAAAAAAAGCCTTGAGGCCTGTTTTTCTTGCTCTCGACCTGGTCATTCCTGACCACTTGCCTCGGCTTACTTGTATACTGCCCTTGCCTCCAGCCCGAACCTGCTGTAATTTCATCAGAGAGTTTTGTGCTCACTGGGAGAAAGGGAGGAGCCTTGAAACACTATCAGCCGAGGACAACGGTGAGTTCTGTGGGGGTGGACTTTTCTTTTCCCCTTCTTCCATTGGGGGAGGGTCCCCATTTTTTCGGCTTCTCCTGTGACCCGAGACCTCCTGTGCGGTAACTGCCAGAGTCCAACAGCACCCCCTGCAGGCTCTGCACCTTCAGTGATCCAACAGCGCCCCCGTCAACCGTGATTAGAATCGCGTCAGAGGACAGAGAAGTATTCAGACTGTATCTTTTTTTTTTTTGAAGGGGACTTTTCGGTACAGGACTATTGTCTAGTTGTTTTTGCGTGCTGTTACTGTCTTTGCCAACACACATACATACATATTT